TCAAAGTTAGATTCCATGGTAGGGGAGCAAAGTTTATGCAGATAAGAGTGACACCAACCCTCATTCTTCCCTCTCCCTTGTAGAAACTGAATGTCACAGAACAAGAGAAGATTGACAAACTGATGATCGAGATGGATGGAACAGAAAATAAATGTGAGTGGTCCGAGGTGGCATCTTTACTAGGGAAGATCGTGAAACCTCCTGAAGACTTTAAAAACATTCAGTAAGAGGTCCATGATCTTAGTGATGAACTAAATGAGCCTGTGGTCTCTTCCAATTTCTTTCTGTCACTCTTAAGAAATCACACTTAAATATCAGGAGTAAAACCAGGTGACAGCAGCCTGTCAGTTTGGTTACTCAGAAAAGCTTTGTTTCTTATAAAGTCAGCAGTTCCTCTAGTTGGCTGGAGTTGGGCTCTGTCGTAGAGGGGTAAAGCAGTGGTGGGTGCACATGGAATGCTATTTGCATTTCTAGTAACAGACCGGAGGTGTGATGAGGAGAGGAGGTGGTGCAGAGCAGCAGGACAAAAGTTGGTGAGTCAGAAATTTCACCCGGTTCTCTTCTGTTCTAGCTAAGTTTGGTGCAAATGCCATTCTGGGGGTGTCCCTCGCTGTCTGCAAAGCCGGTGCTGTTGAGAAGGGGGTCCCTCTGTACCGCCACATTGCCGACTTGGCTGGCAACTCCGAAGTCATCCTGCCAGTGCCGGTGAGTAGTTTATTGGAACTTCCCAAGCAAGGAGTTGAGGGTTTCAGCTTGCTGGTTGGGAACCCAAGAACTCCTGTGCCTTGACCTCTTGTCCAGCACAGCTCTGCCCCTTAGGAGTGGCCTTGAGCAGGTAACTCAACTCACCTGTGCCCCAGGTCCTTTATCTGTGATGGAGGCTGGGGGAGGAAATGACAGTAGTACTTTCCTTGCTAGGTTGTGAGCCTTAGCTGACATAGTAACAACTGTTTATTCTGATTATAATAAATTTGCAACTATCAAAATGGTGTGAACTGGGTACAGAAGTGCATGCCTGTAGTCCCAACTAATGAAGAGGCTGAGGCAGGAGGATCACTTGAGCCCAAGGGTTTGAGACCAGCCTGGGCAAGACCAGTATAGCAAGACCCTGTCTCTAAAAACATGAGTCGTGGCTGGGCGTGATGGCTCACGCTTGTAATCCAAGCCCTTTGGAGGCCAAGGCAGGCGGATCACCTGAGGTCAGGAGTTCAAGACCAGCCTGACCAACATGGTGAAACCCTGTCTTTAAAAACAAACAAACAAACATGAGTCGTGCCTGGTGCCATGCTTCTCCGCCCTGCTTTCCCCAGGCATTCAACGTCATCAATGGTGGTTCCCATGCTGGTAACAAGCTGGCCATGCAGGAGTTCATGATCCTCCCAGTGGGTGCTGCAAACTTCAGGGAAGCCATGCGCATTGGAGCGGAGGTTTACCACAACCTGAAGAATGTCATCAAGGAGAAATATGGGAAAGATGCCACCAATGTGGGCGATGAAGGCGGATTTGCTCCCAACATCCTGGAGAATAAGGAAGGTAAAGGCGCCACACCGGCTCCCTTGGCGGCGGCGGGGCGGGGGGATCATCCACACCTGCCTTTGTGGGAAAGGTGTTCTTTCCACCTCTAGTTAGTAAGGATCAAGACCCTCCAAAAGGGTTTTAAGGAGAAAAAGGGAAGCTTCATTTTTTAATTTTGTTTCATTTTTCTTTTTTTGAAATGGAGTCTCGCTCTGTCGCCCAGGCTGGAGTGCAGTGGTGCGATCTCGGCTCACTGCAGCCTCCGCCTCCTGGACTCAAGCAGTACCTAATAGCTTGAGGAGCCAAGTGTCTGTGTCTGTCCTACTGGCAGGGCAGCTCAGCTGCGGACGGCACAGCCCAGCCTGGCGGCAGGGTCCTGCCACCCAGGGCTGCCCTTCACTGAGCTTTCTCTTAGGTCCCGCTTTAGCTCTGTTGAAGGTGTGTGCCTCAAGACAGCTGATCTCAGCTCATTACTGTAACTGTATCTTGGCCAGGACAGCTGTTCCTGGGCACTAAATTTGGGAGCATTTATCAGTGGGAAAGGCTGCCTTCTTGGAAGCTGTACTGAATTTCCCACATAGTATACACCAAGAGCTCTGACCCATGGTTTCTTGCCCCAAAGCAGGAAAAAAAAAAGTAACTGACATTGTCAGAACTACTGGCTGGAGCCGGAACACCTCTTGATCTTTGTGTTACATTCCCTGTGTAGCAGCTGTTGAAGGGAAGTTTTCTCTCTATCTGCCTGTTTTCCAAACCTGTTGCTGCCATCTCTTCCCAGGCCTGGAGCTGCTGAAGACTGCAATTGGGAAAGCTGGCTACACCGATAAGGTGGTCATCGGCATGGATGTGGCGGCCTCCGAGTTCTACAGGTCTGGGAAGTATGACCTGGACTTTAAGTCTCCTGATGACCCCAGCAGGTACATCTCACCTGACCAGCTGGCCGACCTGTACAAGTCCTTCATCAAGGACTACCCAGGTGAGTGCTTCCAGGGTGCCATCTGCCCTTTCCAGCCACCCACCTGCAACAGGGCAGTGAGAGCATCTGGCTGGCTAGTGATGGCTGCAAGGAGGGGGTTGGGGGGTATGTCTGAATAATCTGCCCGAGAGCACACAGCAAATGGTGAGGCAAGAATTCAGACAGGGAAATCTGACTCCAGAGTCTGAGCGTTTACCCACTACCCTAAATAACTTGGTCGAGGTTGAGCAAAGACCCAAACTCAGGTCTTCTCACTTCTGAGTCTGGCTTCATTCTGATCTTCAGTGGCACTAAACTCAAACCACCCTAGGTAAATACATGTCCAATTGCAGTAGGTCCAAAAAAAAATTTTTTTTTGTTTTGAGGCTGGGCGTATGGTGGCTCACACCTGTAATCCCAGCACTCCAAGAGGCTGAGACATCATCACTTGAGCCCAGGAGTTTGAGGTTAACATAGGGAAACGTGGCAGGACTCCATTTCTACACAAAAAATAAGTAGCAGGGTGGGTTGGCATACCCCTGTAGTTCCAGTGACTCGGGAGGCTGAGGTGGAAGGGATTGCTTGATCCCAGGATTTTGCGGCTGGAGTGAACTATGGTTGCGCCACTGCACTCAAATCTGGGTGGCAGTGAGATTTTTTTTTTAGACCTATAGACCCAGGACTGTGGGCGGACTTGTGTCCCCTGCTGCAGGAGTAGGTTGGTGGGCACAGTGTTTCCAGGATCAGTTGGCGGACATCCGTGTCCTATGATTTTGGGCAGTGTGAGGCCAGGCAGGCAGCAAGTTAAGGGGGAGGCAAGGCTCTGGGCACTGCAGTGGAGCACACTGGGAGGATCACACTGATGAGGCCTCTCCCTCCTTTCCTTAGTGGTGTCTATCGAAGATCCCTTTGACCAGGATGACTGGGGAGCATGGCAGAAGTTCACAGCCAGTGCAGGAATCCAGGTGGTTGGGGATGATCTCACAGTGACCAACCCGAAGAGGATTGCCAAGGCTGCAAATGAGAAGTCCTGCAACTGCCTCCTGCTCAAAGTGAACCAGATTGGCTCCGTGACCGAGTCCCTGCAGGCGTGAGTGTCTTCCCGGCCAGCAGCTTGCCCACAGCTGTAGGTTGTGAATCAGAAAAAGGGCCCTTTTGTTCCAGTGATGGGGAATCCTGCTGGCCAGAATGTAGGGCACCCTGGAATTTCAACAGGTTTCGTGTTTGAACTCAGGAGCCTTTTTAATTGAAAAGTTGGGGCCTCCCAACATTTTGGGAGGCCAAGGCAGGAGGAGCTCAGGAGTTCAAGACCAGCCCGGGCAAAATAGCAACTCTACAAACCAATAAAAAAAAATGAGCCACAGCCGGGCACGGTGGCTCACACCTGTAATCCCAGCACTTTTGGAGGCCAAGACGGGTGGATTATGAGGTCAGGAGTTCGAGACCAACCTGGCCAACATGGTGAAAGCCCCATCTCTACTAAAAATACAAAGATTAGCCAGGCGCAGTGGCACACACCTTTAGTCCCAGCTACTCGGAAGGCTGAGGCAGGACAATCACTTGAACCCAGGAAACAGAGGTTACAGTGAGCCGAGATTGTGCCACTACACTCCAGCCTGGGCGACAGAGTGAGACTCCATCTCAAAAAAATGAGCTGGAAGTGATGGCATTTTCCAGTAGTCCCAGCTACTCAGGAGGCTAAGGCGGGAGGATTGACTGAGTCCAGGGGTTTGAGGCTGCAGTGAGTTGTGATTGCACCCCTGCTCTCCATCCTGGGTGGCAGAGCAAGACCCTGGCTCTAAAGTAAATACGCCAGGCACGGTGGCTCAAGCCTATAGTCCCAGCACTTTGGAAGGCTGAGGCAGGTGGATCGCTTACACCCAGGAGTTTAACACCACACTGGGCAACATAGTGAGAGTCTCTGTTTTTTAAATTAATGAGTTAAGCGGCCTGGGGTGTTGAGCACTGATGGCCTATTCCTGATTCCTTGTGGCTCTTGACACGTGCCTTCATTTTACGTGGAGATGGTGGTTGAGCGGATGTATCTGTGAGGGGCTCTGTCAGGGATCACTAGTCTTTCCCCATCAAGGGAGGCTGAACCCAGTGTTTGAACCATGACAAGCAGGCTGAGAAGGTCCTGGGGGTGGAAGAGTTCAGAGGAGGGTGACGATTGTCCTCTGCTCTTGACAAGCCCAGGCACGGAGAGCTTTAGCCACTATCGGCCCTGCCGCTGCTCTCCTGCTGGCACTGAGGAATAATGGCATTGGGGTTTGTAGCACCAGAAAATGCGCTCGTGCCATCTGGGTTGTCTCTTGGCTTCCAGGTGCAAGTTGGCTCAGGCCAATGGTTGGGGCGTCATGGTGTCTCATCGTTCCGGGGAGACTGAAGATACCTTCATCGCCGACCTGGTGGTGGGACTGTGCACTGGGCAGGTGAGAATGAGCGTCTCCTTTCTTCTCTCTGACCTCAGCTTCCTAGGAATACCCAAAACCAGTGCCGCTCCGTGTCTGTCCTGTTTTTGCTCATCTCCCCCGAGTCACTGCCCTGGTTTCGGAGCCTGAACAGAACAGGGCCATGAGTGCCCTTCCTGTGTGATATGGATCCTCTTTCCTAGGGTCTCAGACATCATACCCTCTCCCTGCCAGAAATGCCTGTAAAGCCTGTCTGTCCGCTATAAGCGAATGGCCTTTGTTTTCTCCTAGATCAAGACTGGTGCCCCTTGCCGATCTGAGCGCTTGGCCAAGTACAACCAGCTCCTCAGGTAAGGGGGTGCTCCTGAGAACAGGGGCCTGCACTCAGAGGAGGCACTGCCTTTCCCCAGGGGCTTCTGGCTCTGGGAACATGTACGGGTACAGACAGCCAGGCCCAGATCAGGCTTAGGTCCAGGCAGAGTTAGGCATAGACCCCGCACCCGCCCAGTGCCACCAGAGCCTGTTCCGCACAGTGCTGCCCTCTTCTGGTGAGGGAGGATGGGACCACCTTCAACAGTTGAGCCATGACTTTACAGCTTTCAGAGTTCCTTCATATGATCTGTTTCACTTAACCCCTCTTTTGTGGATGTGGAGCCAGGACTTGGAGGGAGAAAGAAGCAGCCAAAGGACACATGGCTGGGTTCACTCATCAGCGCTGCGGGGGCGGTTCTGGCCTGCCCTTCCTATCTGTCCTTGGAAAGCCCCTGAACACGGGGAGACTTGCCCCCTTTTTTAGTTATTATTTCCTGGACTTGTAGGGAAATGGGACACCCATTCCTGAGTACTTCCTAATTACCCCTTCATTAAAACTGAATTCTGGGAATTTTCAGACATCCACAAAAAAGCAGGTGAACAGTAGGCATGGGCTTTTTTTGTTGTTTTGTTTGTTTGAGACAGGGTCTAATATCAAGATTCAAGCAGCACACACATTTTCGCTATTTCTGGAGTCTCAGAGCAGCACAGTGTAGAGGGTTTAAGAAGGTGGACGAACTGGAGAGTTCCGGGTTCTCAGCTTCACAGAAGTGGGGCTGTGTCTTTGACATCTGGGGTGGGAAAACTTACAACTTGAAGACTGACTTTTCTTTTTTCCTCCCCATCTCATCTAAGAATTGAAGAGGAGCTGGGCAGCAAGGCTAAGTTTGCTGGCAGGAACTTCAGAAACCCCATGGCCAAGTAAGCGGTGGGCAGGCCAGCCCTTCAGTCGCCTGTTGGCTGATTAGACTCCCCCCCCTCGTGTCAGCTCGGGCAGCTCCAGGCCCCCCGACCAACACTTGCAGGGGCCCCTGCTAGTTAGCTCCCCTCGCCCACCACCGTGGGGTTCGCACTGCTTCCTTAGAACTTCTGCAGAAGCCAAGCTCCCCGGAGCCCTTGTGGCAGCCCTAGCTTTGCAGTCGTGTAACTGGCCCGAATCGTGGTTTTTCTCACCTCACTTTCCACCAAGTGTCTGGAGCAATATGAACCTCCAGTGTCATCTCCGGGGTGGCCACAGGCAAGATCCCCAGTGGTTTTGTGCTCAAAATAAAAGGCATCAGTGAACCATGAGAATACCCTGTTTTGTGTGGCCGTGTGTATTTGGGACAGTCTGGGTCTTGTCCTTAGTGTTCAGGGGGTCTGCCGATAGGGTGGCAACCTTTGAGAACTCCGTTGAGAACATTTTCCTGGGTCCTTGGGAAGAGAACTTGAGGCAAATGGAAGAGAGGAGACATGCACTGTCCCACCAGGGTCATGGGGTCACAACAGGGAGTGTAAGCTTGGAGGCAGAGCGAGACTTTGTTCAGACAACTCATTTGGAAGAAAATTCAAATGCAGGCCTATGTGTTGATCATCTTAAAGATGGTAGCTACTGGGTTACGTAACCATACTGTTCAGGCCAGAAGGACTGCATGGTAAATGTGACCATCCTGGGAAGCGCTAGGATGTGGATCTCTTCCTGGGGAAAGCAAGTAAAAGAAGGATTAAAAGGGAACTCTGGGCAGGAAGGTAGAAGGGCATCTAGAGGATCTCGGGACCCCATTTAAGTTAATGAATTGCATTCCTTGGTTTCTCACGCGTCAGGTTTCACGTGCTCGGTAGCTGCCATTTGTAGCTGATGCCCACTGCATCGGATTATGCAGATAGAAAACTTGGAAGTACTGTTCTAGGGTAATGCTAAATACAGGGTGTGAGGTATACATTTATTTAGAAGTGAGAGATGAGGCCAGGTGTGGTGGCTCACACCTATAATCCCAGCACTTTGGGAGGCCAGGGTGGGCAGATCACCTGAGGTCAGAAGATCAAGACCAGCCTGGCCAATATGGCAAAACCCCGCCTTTACTAAAAATATAAAAATTATCTGGGTGTGGTTACATGCACCTGTAATCCCAGCTACTCAGGAGGCTGAGGCATGAGAGTGGCTTAAACCCAAGATGCGGAGGTTGCAGTGAGCCAAGATCATGCTGTTACACTTGGCAGCAGAGCAAGACTCCATCTCAAATAAAAATAAGTAATAAAAGTGAGAGATGAGAAACTGGTTGCCATATGCCCCTTGAAGAAGACTCATATTCTGTTTGATTTTCTCCCTAAAATCAGTATCTTGAGTTGTGCTTTCCAGTGCACGGTCAGGGAGCTGGGGAGCCCTCTTGTGGACATTCTTGTTCATTGTTTATTTCAGGATTTAACCTGAGAAGTAGAACCAGAAAGAAGGAAAGGTACAGATACTAAGAATTGGTGGCCAGGCGCAGTGGTTCGTGCCTGTAAACCCAACACAGGCTGAGGCAGGAGGATTGCTTGAGCTCAGGAGTTAAAGATAGGCGTGTGCAACATGGCAAGACCCTGTCTCTACAAAAAACAAGTTAGCCGGGCACGGTGGCACACCTATGGTCCCAGCTATTCAGAAGGCTGAGGCTGGAGGATTGCTTGAGCCCAGGAGGTCAAGGCTGCCGTGAGCCAAGGTCACACCACTGCATTCCAGCCTGGGTGACAGAGTGAGACTCTTTCTCAAAAATAATAGGATTCTGTGATTGTGGGGCCTGAGTAAACACGTCTGAAATTCACGGGACTGCCAGTGGGACGGGGTGACGGCGAGCAGCAGGCTGGAACCCCGGGGGCCTGAGTGAAGCTGCCATTTCACAGGGGAAATTTCTTTCGAAACCTTGGCTTTTGAGTCCGCCTCACTGGCCGGGCGTGGTGGCTCACACCTGTAATCTCAGTACTTCCTCGGAAGCCGAGGTGGGCAGATCATCTGAGGTCAGGAGTTTGTGACCGGCCTGACCAAGATGGCAAAACCCAGTCTCTACTAAAAACACCAAAAAGTTAGCTGGGAGTGGTGTTATGTACCTATAATCCCACCTACTTGGGAGGCTGAGATAAGAGAATTCTTGAATCCAGGAGGCAGAGGTTGGAGCACCACTCTATTCCAGCCTGGGTAATGGAGTGAGACTTTTTTTTTTTTTTTAGACCTTGTTTTTGAGAGTCTCACTGTCTCCCAGGCTGGAGTACAGTGGCGCAATCTTGGCTCACTGCAACCTCTGCCTCCTGGGTTCAAGTGATTCTCCTGTCTCAGCTACCCAAGTAGCTGGGACTACAAGCATGTGCCACCACGCCTGGCTAATTTTTGTATTTTTCGTAGAGACTGGGTTTCACCATGTTAGGCTGGTCTTGACCTCCTGACCTCGTGATCTGCCTGCCTCAGCCTCCCAAAATGCTGAGATTATAGGCATGAGCCACCACGTCCAGCTGAGACTGTCTTAAAAAAAAAAAAAAAAACCACCTCGTTTATGGGCTTGGGCAGAACTAGAGTATCTAGGGTAATCCTTAACATCTACTTACTAGTAGCTTTAATTACCTCTGCAAAGTAGTTTTACAGTAATCCCTAAATTAATATTTGATTGAATAACTAGGAACTCAAGTTGACATACTACAGAGCCATCGTGGTTCAGCCCTGTGAGCTCTGCACCCACACACGTTTGCTTAACTAAACTTCATCTCCAGGTGACGGCAGGAACAAAGTCATTCTAACTTAATGCAGTCATCCCACATAAAACCCCAAACACTAACCCTTTCCAGGATTTAATGACCGCTATCTATCTGTGAACTGACTGGGGGAAGTAAATCACTGAACTGCGTCTGACAGTTACCGGCGTGTTCTACATCTTGTTTATCTCAACTGTAAGGCAGCAAGTTAACATTAGTATTTTTCAGTTTGGTTTAATGTCAGCATTCCCTGACTGTGACGTAAACCTCATGTATCACTCTTGAGGGTAGACGGCAAACAGGTAGGTAGGATCCCTTCCAGTTGGCACCACCCCAAAAGGCGGCTGATGGACTGGGGTGGAGGCGTTTCCATTGCAGGCTAGACTGAGCGTTTTACCACATTGACCCTGGAGACACAGAGGCCCCAAATAAGGAAAGCTGACTGACCAAACTTCCTGACCCAGTAGAAATGAAGCACATTCCTGACGTTGACAGCCAACCAGAAGTGCAGACCTCTGGGGCCTTCCCTGGGTTCTGAAGCAGGACAGGCAACATGCAGGCCAAGTTTCAAGAAACCATTCTCAGTGAGACGTTTAAGATAGGCCTGGGGTTAGCCCGGGCAACAGCGAGCACCCGCCTCGGAAAAAAACTATATATATATATATTTTTTTTATTTTTAATACTTTTTTCTAAGACAGTCTCACTGTTGCCCAGGCTTGAGTGCAGTGGTGTGACCTCAGCTCACTACAACCTCCACCTCCTGGGTTCCAGTGATTCCCGTGCCTTAGCCTCCACCAGAGTAGCTGGGATTATAGGTATGTACCACCAAGCCTAGCTAATTTTTGTTTTGTTTTTTTAATTTGAGACAGTTTCACTCTTGTTGCCCAGGCTGGAGTGCAATGGCGCAATCCTGGCTCACCGCAACCTCCGCCTCCTGGGTTCAAGCAATTCTCCTGTCTCCGCCTCCCAAGCAGCTGAGATTACAGGGATGCACCACCACGCCCGGCTAATTTTGTATTTTTAGTAGAGATGGGGTTTCTCCATGTTGGTCAGGCTGGTCTTCAACTCCCGACCTCAGGTCATCTGCCCGCCTCAGCCTCCCAAAGTGCTGGGACTACAGGAGTGAGCCACTGCGCCTGGCCGAATAAAATGAAAATAAAAAATTAGCTGGGCATGGCGACATGGCCCCTGTCGTCTCAGCTGCTCAGGAGGCTGAGGTGGAGAGATCACTTGAGCTCTAGAGTTGGAGGCTGGAGGGGGCCGTGATAATTCAGCCTGGGCAGCAAAGCGATACCCTGTCTTCAAAAAAAAAGGTAAATTAAAAGTTTAAAGCAATGATTCCGAAACTTGGCCCCATTAGAATCACTGGGAGGCTTCTAAAGGTCCTCTATCAGGACTCACCACAGGTCAGTTAATTCAGAACCTCAGGGTATGTTTTAAAGAACCCCCAGCTGACTCCAGTGTGCAGCCAGACTTGAGAACCACTGGTGTGACAGGTAAATGGGTTTCAGAGGTGGGGATGCCCAGGCAGGGCTAGGATGCCAAGCTTTCAAGGACATGATGGGAGGCAGCCAGGCTTTCCCTGAAAGGCCCAAAGTCCTGGTAATTTTCATTTTAGGGAGTGCAGCCGAGGCAGGAAAGTGGCCTCTGAATGCCACCAGCACAGTCCACAGAGCTGTGCCATGTCGCGGGGTGGGGGCTGTGCTAGGAGCCAGCTTCTTGGGAGTATGTGCCATGCTGAGGCCTGTAGGTGCAGCCACATCGGCTGTCTCCAACAGCGGGCTCCAGTACCTGCTCCCCGACAGCAGCCACAGTGCAGGCAGCAGCGTCGGAGAACACAGAGCCAGGCTGTGTGGCTGGATTCTGGCTTTTCCCTAACAACTGTGCTTCAGTTTCCCCATCTGTAAAAGGGGGCCAACAACCCAATGGTAGACCACTCAGGTGAGCACATAGAGTGAGTACTATAAAATACAAAATCAGTCGAGCATGGTGGTGTGTGCCTGTAATCCCAGCTACTCGGGAGGCTGAGGCAGGAGAATCGCTTGAAACCTGAAGGCAGAGGTTGCAGTGAGGCAAAAATTCATGCGACTGCACTCCAGCTTGGGCGACAGAGTAAGACTTCATCTCAAAAAAAAAAAAAGGAGGCCAGGCATGGTGGCTCACGCCCTTAATCCCAGCACTTTGGGAGGCTGAGGTGGGCGGATCACCTAAGGTCAGGAGTTCAAGACCAGTCTGACCCATATGGTGAAACCCTGTCTCTACTAAAAATATGAAAATTAGCCAGGCGTGGTGTTATGGACCAGTAGTCGGGAGGCTGAGACAGGAGAATTGCTTAAACCCAGGAGGCATAGGCTGCAGTAAGCTGAGATCACACCCCTGCATTCCAGCCTGGGCGACAGAGTGAGACGCCATCTCAAAAAGAAAAAAAAGCTGTCAGATCTCATGAGAACTCACTCTCACGAGAACAGCACGGGGGAAACCAGCCCATGAATCAGTTACCTCCACCTGGTCTCTCCCTTGACGTGGGGATTATGGGGATTACAGTTCAAGATGAGATTTGGGTGGGGACACAAAGCCTGACCATATCAGTGTGATATATTTTAACAAATACACCTGGGTCACCAGAATATTTCCAGCACTTCCAAAAGTTCCTTGGGTTCTTTCCCAGTCAATCTCTACCCCGTCCCTTCCCCAGGCAGCCTACTGTGTGTGTGTGTTTTAACTAATTGCCAATATCTAAAAAAAAAAAAATGATTTCATGTAAAAATGTCAATGTCTGGGTTCTTTTTTTTTCCCTGTGTCACCCAGACTGGGTGCAGTGGTGTCATCAGGAGTCACTGCATCCTCCGCCTCCTGGGCTCAAGTGATCCTGCCACCTCAGCCTCCTGAGTAACTGTGACTACAGGCACATGCCACCATGCCTGGCTAATTTTGAAACTTTTTGTAGAGACGAGGTGTTGCTAAAGTACCAGGCTGGCTGGCGAATCCTGGGCTCACGCCGTCCTCCTGCCTCCCAAGTTCAGGGATTACAGGCATAAGCCACCATGCTTGGCCCTAGTTTCTGGGTTCTGAGGGATTGGAAAATGGACCCCACTGGGCCTGCATTCCCAGAAGGCAACAGTTGGTCACCCCCTTAGGCAGCCGAGGTCCCTCCTGCCTGCTTCTCTTCCCTGCCTACCCAGACCCCAAGGCTTTTGCGTCTGCACCCCTCATCCACGGTCTCTTGTGCAGGTTGCTGGCTTCCCAGTTCTTGCCTTTGTGTAAAACTCCTCTATGCCCAGGTACTCATGAGTCCAGGGCTTCTGAGTTTTCTCCACCTTTGACAGCTGGTCTCCCAGTGTTTCAAGGATCAGGGACTCCCCTGATTACCTTGAACTCTGGTTCATCCAGACACAGCACAGGGGCAGGCATCACATCACCGCCATCGGATTCAGCTCTAACAGCCCAGCCTGGCTAGGGGCACTGCAGCTTCTTCCCAACGGTCTTGCTGCAATGTGCAAGGGCTGGGTAATCGGGGCTGCTGTCCACCGGGACCAGGGGTGATAGCAGACTCATCTGCATATGTGACCTAAGACAGTAATTAAACCCAGGTGCCCCAGGGGTGAGAAGTAAGCACATTAATTCAGGAGCAATTAAAAACCCTCCATTGTCACCCAGGCACAGCCACCACTTCTGAGTCTGTCACTAACTGAAGACAGTTAGCTCTAGGCTGTCTCCTGGCCACCCGACTGCCACCATGGGGGCACCTGTTTAAGGAAGGACCACAGCTCCGCCACCGTCAGCCTTTTGCCAGGTCCCTGATGTGCTTATGGGCAAGGCAATGTCCTCGTTTTTTTTCTTAATTGTTGTAAAATAAAGATAACGAGATTTATCATTTTAACTTTTTTTTTCTTTTTAAGATGGAGTCTTGCTCTGTTGCCCAGGCTGGAGTGCAGTATCGCGATCACCTGGCTAATTTTTAAATTTTTTTTTTTTTTTTTTTTGAGACAGTTTTGTTTTTGTTCCCCAGGCTGGAGTGCAATTGCACGATCTCAGCTCACTGCAACCTCTGCCTTCTGGGTTCAAGTGATTCTCCTGCCTCAGCCTCCCGAGTAGCTGGGACTACAGACATGCACCACCACACCAGCTAATTTTGGATTTTTAATAGAGACAGGGTTTCTCCATGTTGGTCAGGCTGGTCTCAAACTCCCAACCTCAGGTGATCTGCTCACCTCAGCCTCCCAAAGTGTTGGGATTACAGGCGTGAGCCACCGCACTCGGCCAATTTTTGAATATTTTGTAGAGACAGGGTCTCCCTATGTTGCACAGGCTGGTCTTGAACTCCTGGGCTCAAAGGATCCCCCGACCTGGGCCTCCCAAGGCGCTGGGATTATAGGCGTGAGCCACTGCACCTGGCCTGCTTTCAGTTCTTTTGGGGATTGGAAAATGGACAGCCGATGAGTAGAATTTGTTGCGTCTTCTGAGGAGTCTATGTTTAATGTTTTGAGGAACCACCACCCTGCTTTCCACAGCAGCTGCACCATTTTACATCTCCATGACTAATATACGAGGGTCCGGCGTCCCTACATTCTCATTACTTGCTATTTTGCATGTTTAAATTATGGCCATCCTAGGTATGAAGTGGTACCTTATTAAAAAGAAGACCTTGGAGCTCTTTGGCTTTGACTGTGGCTCTGGCCACAGTGCTGAGAGGTCTCGACCTCTGCAGAGTCTAAGTGTGTCTGCTGGTTAATGGACTCCCAGACTATTAGGATGCTGATGCTTTGAGAAACACTTTCAAGGGAAAGGGGTGCTGCCACCTCCCCAAAACGCTCACTCACGCGCATACACTCCAGCCCTTCCCAGCCAATGCTCTACCCCCGAAGCCCAATTTGCCTTCTGCGAGGTACTTAACATCACCTGGATGTTCCATAGCTGCTGCTTATTTATTCTTCCTTAATTACACTGTAAGCTCCATTAGACTTTATGTTGCTGACTGCAGTGCATCCTGCACCGAGAAAAGTGCCTGATACACGGTAGGTGCCCCAGGCATGAATGAGCCCCACGGTCCACACCACGAGGTTTTCTGTGTCTCACATAAGGCACACAGCAACCTACCGGGAGGACCTCTGAGTTCTGACGTTTTGGTGCTCACGATGAAGAGGAGGCCGGGCATGATGGCTCACGCCTGTAATCCCAACAGTTTAGGAGGCCAAGGCTGGAGTATGCCTTGAGCCCAGGAATTTTAGGCTGCAGAGAGCTATGATACCATTGAACTGCAGCCTGGGTGACAGAGACTCTGCCAAAAAAAAAAAAAAAAAAGGAAGAAAGGGAGGGAGGGAGGGAGGGAGGGAGAGAGGTGAAGGAAGTAAGGAAGGAAGTTTTTGTTTTTGTTTTTTGAGATGGAGTTTCACTCTGTCACAGAAGGAAGGAAAGAAGGAAGGAAGGGTTTGTTTGTTTGTTTGTTTGTTTTTTGAAATGGAGTTTCACTGTGTCACCCAGGCTGGAATGCAGTGGTAATCACAGCTCACTACAGCCTCGAATTCCTGGGGTAAAGGCATCCGCAGGCCTCAGCCTTCAGAGTAGCTGGGATTATAGGCACATGCCACCACATCCAGCTAATTTTTGTATTTTTAGTAGAGACAATGTTTTACCATGTTGACCAGGATGGTCAAACTCCTGACCTCAGGTGATCCTCCTGCCTTGGCCTCCCAAAGTGCTGGCATCATAGGCGCGAGCCACCACACCTGGCTAGGGGAAGTCTTTTTTTTTTTTTTTTGAGATGGAGTCTTGCTCTGCCGCCCAGGCTGGAGTGCAGTGGCATCATCTCAGTTCACAGCAACCTCTGTCTCCCTGGTTCAAGCGATTCTCCTGCCTCAGCCTCCTGAGTAGCTGGGATTATAGGCATATGCCACCAAGCCCAGTTAATTTCTGTATTTTTAGTAGAGACAGGGCTTCACTGTGTTGGCGAGGGTGGTCTCGAATTCCTGACCTCGTGATCCACCTGCCTCAGCCTCCCAAAGTGCTGGGATTACAAGTGTGAGCCACCACGCCTGATTGGGAAGTCTTTAAAAAAAAAAAAAAAAATGTGGTCAGGTGGGGTGGCTCACCCTGTAATCCCAGCACTTTGGGAGGCCGAAGTGGGCGGATCAACTGTGGTCAGGAGTTCAAGACCAGCCTGGCTAACATGATGAAACCTTGTCTCTACTAAAAATCCAAAAACAGGCCGGGCGCGGTGGCTCAAGCCTGTAATCCCAGCACTTTGGGAGGCAGAGGTGGGTGGATCACGAGGTCAAGAGATCGAGACCATCCTGGTCAACATGGTGAAACCCCGTCTCTACTAAAAATACAAAAAATTAGCTGGGCATGGTGGCACGTGCCTGTAATCCCAGCGACTCAGGAGGCTGAGGCAGGAGAATTGCCTGAACCCAGGAGGCGGAGGTTGCGGTGAGCCGAGATCGCGCCATTGCACTCCAGCCTGGGTAACAAGAGCGAAACTCCGTCTCAAAAAAAAAAAAAAAAAAAAAAAAAATCCAAAAAAAAACAGTCTGGCATGGTGGTATGTCCCTGTAGTCCCAGCTACTTGGGACGCCGAAGCAGGAGAATCACTTGAACCTGGGTGGTGGAGGTTGCAGTGAGCTGAGATCACACTGCTGCACTCCAGCCTGGGCAACAAGAGCAAACCTCCATCTCAAATTAAAAAAACATATAACGTAAAATCCACCCTTTTAACCAGGTGCAGAGCTTTCACCTGTAGTCCCAGCTACTTGGGAGGCCAAGGCCGGGGGACCGCTTGAGCCCAGGAGGTTGAGACTGCAGTAAGCTGTGATTGTCCAGCCTGGGTGAGACCCCATCTCTTAAAAACAAAACAACAACAACAACAAAAAGAAAACCCACACCATTTTAACCAATTTTTTGAAGGTCTGAGATGTAAACATTTTATTTTTTTATTTTTTGAGACAGTCTTGCTCCTTCGCCCAGGCTGGAGTGCAGCCTCAACCTTCTGGGCGTAAGTGATTTTCCCACCTCAGCCATGAGTAGCTGGGACTACAGGGGCGCCACTCCGCCACCTGCTGTTTTGCTGTTGTTGTTTTGAGACAGGGTCTCCCTCTGTTGCCCAGGCTGGAGTGCAGCGGCTTGACGAGGGCTCACTGCAGCCTTGACCTCCCAGGCTCAAGCAGTTCTCTACCTCAGCCTCCCAAGTAGCTGGGATTACAGGCATGCACCACCACATGGCTAATTTGTGTATGTTTTGTAGAGATGGGGTTTCACCATGTTGCCCAGGCTGCTCTCAATCTCCTGGACTCAAGCAGGCTGCCCACTTCAGTCTCCCAGAATGTTGGGGTTATAGGCATGAGCCACCACGCCCAGCCCACTTTAAACTATTTTTAAATGTGTAATTCAGGTTATATTCACAATGTCGTGCGAACATCAACACTGCCTAATTCCAGAACACTTTCGTCACTCCAAAAAGAAAACCTGGCCCCATGAGCAGTCACTTCCCATCCCCTCCCCTAGCTCTCGGCAGGCACCCAGCTACCCAGCCCCTCAGAAACACAATGATAGAATGTGCATTCCACTGTGGCTGGCTTCCTTCATACAGCTTAATATTTTGAAGGTTCATATATGTTGTAGCAGGTAGCAATGTTTTATCTTCCTTTTTATGGTTGATTACTAGTCAGTTTTATGGCTAAACCACATTCTGTTTCTTCATCAGTTGATGGACATCTGTGTTGTTTCCATTTTATTTATTTATTTATTTATTTATTTTTGAGACAGAGTCTCAGGCTGGAGTACAGCGGTGCAACCTCGGCTCACTGCAACCTCCACCTCCTGGGCTCAAGCGATTCTTCTGCCCCAGCCTCTCAAGTAGCTGGGACTACAGGTGTGTGCCACCACACCCAGCTAATTTTTGTATTTTTAGCAGAGATGGGGTTTCACCATGTTGCTCAGGTTGGTCTAGAACTCCTACCTCGGCCTCCCAAAGTGCTGGGGTTACAGGCGTGAGCCACTGCACTTGGCCCTTTGCCCATTTTTTAATTGAGTTGCTTTTTTGTTGTTGTTGTTGTTGAGTTGTAGAATTCTATCAGATACATGATTTGCAACCATTTTCTCCCATTCTGTAGGTTGTCTTTTCACTTTCTTGATAGTGTCTTATTTAACTTTTTATTTTTATTTATTTATTTATTTTGAGACAAGTCTCGCTCTGTCACCCAGGCTGGAGTGCAGTGGTGTGTGATCTCGGCTCACTGCAGCCTCCACTTCCTGGGTTCAAGCGATTCTCCAGCCTCAGCCTCCCAAGTAGCTGAGATGACAGGTGTGCACCACCATGCCTGGCTAATTATTTTGTCATTTTTAGTAGAGACGGGGTTTCACCATGTTGGCCAGGCTGGTCTTGAACTTCTGACCTCGTGATCCACCCGCGTCAGCCTCCCAAAGTGCTGGGATTACAGGCGTGAGCCACCATGCCCGGCCTATATAGTTATACTTTTTGAGACAGGTTCTTGCTCTGTCGCCCAGGCTGGGGTACAGTGGTACAGTCATAGCTCACTGCAACCTCAAACTCCTGGGCTCAAATGATCCTCTCACTCAGCCTCCCAAGTAGCTGGGACTACAGGTGCACACCGTCCAGCTAATTTTTCAAGATTTTTTTGTAGAGACGAGGACTCACTGTGTTGCCCAGGCTAGTCTGAAACTCTTGAGCTCAAGCCATCTTCTCGCCTTGGCCTCCCAAGGTTCTGGGATTACAGGCACGAGCCACAGTGCCCAGCCAATAGTGTCCTTTGATGCACAAGAGTGTGTGATTTTGATGAGGTCCACCTTGCCTATTTTGTTGTTGTTGCTTGTGCTTTTGGTGTCATGTTTAAGAAACTATTCCAAGCTCCAAAAAGTTTGCACTTATGATTCCTTCTAAGAGTCTAATAGTTTTAGCTCCTACATTTAGGTCTATGAGCCATTTGAGGTCATTATTATGTAAGGTTGCATGTGATACCCAGTTGTCCCAGTACTGTTAGTTGAAAAGATGTCTTTTTTGGCCTGGCACGGTGGTTCAAGCCTGTAATCCCAGCACTTTGGGAGGCCAGGTGGGTGGATCATCTGATATCAGGAGTTCGAGACCGGCCTTACCAACATGGAGAAATCCCATCTCTACTAAAAAAGAAAAAAAATTAGCCGGGTTTAGTGGTGAATGTCTGTAATCTCAGCAACTCAGGAGGCTGAGGCAGGAGAATCTCACTTGAACTCGGGAGGTGGTGGTTGCAGTGAGCCAAGACAGTGCCATTGTACTCCAGCCTGGGCAACAGAGCATGACTCCGTCTAAAAAAAAAAAATCTAAATCTTAACTGCCAATAGATCATCTTAAAAACTGTTGAAGGCTGGGCACAGTGACTTACTTTGGGAAGTGAGCCCCAGCACTTGGGGAAGCTGAGATGGGTGGCTACTCAGGAGGCTGAGGCATGAGAATCGCTCAAACCCGGGAAGCAGAGGTTGCAATGAGCAGAGATTGTGCCATTGCACTCCAGCCTGGGTGACACAGTGAGACTCTGTTTCAAAAAAAATACCAAAAACAAAAAAAACTGTTGAAAGGTGGTGTTTTCAGACAGTGTGTTCAGAGGTTGTGGCCACTCCCAGTCCACACCCCACCCCCAGCTGTCATTCTTATTATTAAGAAAGAGCATCGCGGGCCAGTCAGCACTGTCTCAACTGTGCTGCCTTCACTGAGCTTGCGCCAGGTAGGTGGGGACTGGCACAACTGAAGCGCCGGGTCGGCCAGGACTGCTGGTGGTGACTCCTGGCCAGAACATACAATGCCTGAGGGCCACGGGGTGGGAGAGGAGCCTTTTTATACGGGGAGCAGGGGCATCCTTTCCCCAAACTTTTGCAGGTGCAGCCCAGCTTTCCCTGGCATGAGAGCAGGGCGCCTCTGCACCCACCTGCTAGGGATGGGGTGACACACAATATGTAAGGAGCCCTGGTCAGGCCCTCATCCTGGCTACTGTTTTCTTTCTTCCTTTCTTTCTTTCCTTTCTTTCCCTCCCTCTCCTCCTCCTCCTCCTCCTCCTTCTCCTCCTCCTCCCCCCCACCTCCTCCTCCTTCTCCTCCCCCACCCCCTCCTCCTCTTCCCTCTCTTCCTCCTCCTTTCTTCCTCTCTCTCTGTCTCTCTCTCTCTCTCTTTCTTTCTTCTGCATATGAAAGGCAAGTCACAGCTACTCCTTAACTGTGCCGAAGATCAGCTGGTCTGGGTCTAGGCGCGCCGACGAGCTTCCTTCGGCCGCCAGGGGGCGCAGTGGGGCTGCCTCCAGACCCTGGGCCTCCGAGGGGCCTCCCCTGGCTGCTGGCTCTGCTCACTGCCCAACTGGGCTGGCTGCCACCCCAGCCCTTCCTTCTCTCCAGCCCCAGCTGGCTGGCACAGGTTTGCTTTTGCAAGTGGACCGTACCTTGTGGCTCACAGGGACTCGGAGCCAGAGTGAAGTCAGCCCAGAGCTCTGAGCAAAACTCGGCGAGATGAATGGAGCTGTCACTAGATAAAGGGAGATTCCTGGACAGCATGTCTGGTCAACACTCTCCCCTGTGTCACCGCAGGTGCTCGTGGGGAGGCACAGCAGAGGCCACGGGACCTGGTCAAAGCAAGACTTCTCCCTTGGCCCACTTTGATTTCTTTTGTTGTTGTTGTTGTTGAGATGGAGTTTCAATTTGTCGCCCTGGCTGGAGTGCAGTGGTGTGATCTCAGCTCATTGCAACCTCCACATCCCGGGTTCAAGTGATTCTCCTGCCTCAGCCTCCTGAGTAGCTGGGATTACAGGCATGCACCACCACGCCTGGTTAATTTTTGTATTTTTAGTAGAGACAGGTTTTCACCATGTTGCCCAGGCTGGTCTCAAACTCCTGACCTCAGGTGATCCACTCTCCTTGGCCTCCCAATGTGCTGGGATTACAGGCGTGAGCCACCAAGCCCGCCTCCCACTTTGATTTTCAAACCTTTTGGGTAGCAGCTCCTTCCCTCAAATTTCTTGTGTGTTGAGGTCTTTTGTTCAGGCTTTCAGTGGATGAAGAACAGAGGAGGAAACCGCTGTGGGAACAGCAGCTGCAGTGGCTCCCTGCCTCTCTGCTTGGCCACAGCTCTCCTCCCTCTCTGGCTGCCCTAGCACGGAACTCTGATCTTCAGCAGCGAGATCTGGCACCTGCCTCCGCCTCCCTGGGAAGCAAAGCTGCAGGGCAGGTGCAGCTGCGTGTGGTACAGCCAGCCACGAGCCAGAACAACCAGCAAACCAGGCCCGAGAAGGGCACTTCCTGGGACCAGCCCTGGGACCACTTTGGAAATGAGCGTGGCAGAGGCAGTCACAGAGTGAGTGCCCAAGCCCACGTATGCCGGCTTTGAAGGGAACCAGTGCGTCTGTGGTCAGGCTTCGACTTCAGGGGAGGACTCCCACAGGTGTCCAGCACTGACTTCTGTCACCCAGGTGACAGCACCTGTTCGAGGGAGTGCTCTGGGACCATTCAGGGAGAATCAGTGACCCCACGAAAGGCAGGCGCCCTGGGTGCCTGGTCTGAGGAAGGACAGCCCAAGGTAGGGTGGGGGTGATCGGAGCCCTGGGGCTCTCCTCTTGGTCCTCCTGATCACACCTTTTCCCTGCTTTCCCTGCTTTTATGGAATGTTGGGCCTCATCTCATCCACCAACATCAAAGACAGCCAGCCAACTTCCAGAGGAAACGGGGTGCAGTATTTAGCAGAAAGAACTTGCAATGTTAGAAGACCCTTGTAAGTCTCTAGCCAACACCTTCCTAGAATTTTTTTTTTTTTTTTGAGATGGAGTCTTATTCTTGTTGCTCAGGCTGGAGTGCAATGGTGCGATCTCAGCTCACTGCAACCTCCTCCTCCCGGGTTCATGTGATTCTCCTGCCTCAGCCTCCTGAGTAGCTGGGATTATAGTCATGTGCCGCTACGCTCGGCTAATCTTTTTTGTATTATTAGTAGAGAGGCTGGTCTCGAACTTGAAACCTCAGATAATCCACCCCCCTCAGCCTCCCAAAGTGCTGTGATTGCAGGTGTGACCACCACATCCAGCAGAGACTTAGAAATTAACTGCTGACCTCAAATGTTTGGGCCCTCAAAAAAGTATGCCCTGGCCTGCCTGGGTGTCCTTTGTCCTGATGATCCCTGCAAAATAACAGTGGCAGCCTACTTAGGAAATCTTGCCTTTATCTAAGTCCTGCACACATGGCAGGGTGGAGACCGGGCTCCTCAGGGTTGTTGGCACATGAGGTTTGGAGAGCAAAGTCCCTCAGGAACCACACCAGTGATGTGTCAGACAGCACTGGAGACCTTGGGGTACAGCTCTTGCCAAAAACATTGTCACACCTGAGCCCGGGTCACAGCAGCTGCATTTGCCAAACCAGCGGTGATGCTGGAAATTCAAGCAGTTGCCGGCATCTGCTGGCTCCCCACTTTGATTCTCTTTTCTTCATAAGGGCTTTGTTTTTCTTTCTTGGACACCATGAGAAAGCATCTCTGGGATGGCAAGAATAACAAAAGCGTGCCAGATACAAAGCTTATAGAGTTATTGATCGACTTATGACCTATGCAACTTACGATCATTCAACTTTACGACCACAACCGCTAGCCACGACTGCTCCGTGTCTGGCAGTGCAAACATTGCCCAGCTGGGCGTACGACAGTGCGGACCAGCTTCCGGCAGCACTACCATCTCGCGTGCACCATTTCAACTGTTATCCCAGACTCGGTACAGCAATTTGTGTTTTGTGTCTTGGATATGTTTCATCAAACCCCTCCCAATAAACTTCTTATACATTTTGAAGCAATGGACCCAAACATCGAACGATTTGCAGGGATTGAACGGATGACGCACGATGTGTTTCGTCCGTATCGTGAAATTTATGAAGAAAAAAAGAAACATACAATTCAGACAAAGCTCACCATGTTTACGAAAAAACCAACTCCGGTAACCCCAACTGCTGCCTCAGATGACGACATCAACGATCCGCAGCCAAGCACCAGCGGCCAATGAAATGTTTCGTACATGTTTATATATTTTGATATGTTTTGCAATTGGGAAAATGTTTCCTATGGTATTTTTTACACTTGTATTTTGTATTCTTGTATGCACCTGTATTTTGTAACTTTGTATGTTTTGCAAATATTAAACCAGTTGTACTGGTAATGCAGTGTTTTACTTAAACCTGACGAATGTAAAAATAGAAACAAAACGGTGTAGAGATGATACAAATGGCATAAAATGAACAAAGAAAATTATGATATATAACAATAATGAAAAAATTATGATAAAATGTGACTTAAAGATTTTTATAACATCATTTCACAGTACTGTACATATAGCCTACTCAACTTACGACCAAATCGTGTTACGACCGGTCTGTCGGAACCAATCATGGTAGTAAGTCGAGCACTAGCTGTAAAGTGTTATGTATGGGTCCGGGTCCACGTCCCTGCCTCCTTTGAGATGGTGGACGGAAGCTTACATTTCACTTGTCTGTAATTGCCTCCTTCCTGGAAAGGAGGGAAGAGCCACCAGGTGACTGGGAAGGACACAGAGGGAAAGGTGCGGGGCGCTTCCTGGGCTCTGCTGTGTTTCTCAAGTCCCTGGGGCTGGTTGGATCCAAAGGAGAAAACAACAGCAAAGCAGTGCCTGCTTGCTCGCCCGCTCTCTGGGGGAGACCGGGATAATGGACCTGGGCTGATGGCACCATAGTGTTGGGAGAGAGCATGGGTTTGGGGGCCAGGTGGTTCAGTATCTTTTTTTTTTTTTTTTTAATATGAAGTCTTGCTCTGTTGCCAGCCTGGAGCGCAGTGGGGCGATCTTGGCTCACTGCAACCTCCACCTCCCTGGTTCAAGCAATTCTCCTGCCCTAGCCTCCTGAGTAGCTGGAACTACAGGCACGCACCACCACGCCCAGCTAAATTTGGTATTTTTAGTAGAGACGGGGTTTCACCATGTTGGCCAAATGGTCTCAATCTCTTGACCTGGTGATCTGCCTGCCTCAGCCTCCCAAAGTGCTGGGATTACAGGCATGAGCCACCGCGCTTGGTGGTTCGGCATCTTTCATTTGCTGAACCAACAGCAGTGACCAACTCAAGGACGTTTAAACCAAAAAGAACATGTGGCTGCAGGCACGGCTGGGTCCAGAGACTGAGACGATGACATCAGGACCCAGCCTCAGTCCGTCTCTCTGCTTGCTGGCCCCAGCACCTCTGCAGGTTCAGCTCAGCAGCCCTAGCTTCTTTCTCTCAATTGTTCCAGCAAAACCCTAGGCCTGACTCTCATTGGCTCAAATTGGGTTACATGCGTATCCTTGAACCAATCACTGTGGCCAAGGGAGATGGAATCACTGATTGCTTAGGCCTGGGTCACATGGTCACCCTCAGATTCTGGGGATAGCTCAGCCTTGCCCAACAGCATGGACAGACTGGGAAGGGGATGTTTTCCACCAGAAGAATGGGATGCTGTGGCTAGAGAAAGGGTGAGTGCATGACGGGCAAAAACATCACCGCTCGCTCTCTCAGAGCACTGACTCCTGCCGCCGCCGGCTGTGCGGCTTTGGCCAGGTCACTTAGCTTCTCTGAGCCTCAGCTGGAAACACAGCTTGGTTCAGTCTTAATGGTTCCTTCCTTTGTAAAAACAGGAGAGGCTGCAGGTGTCCTGGGATTCCTACTCTATCTGGAGCTTTCATTAGAGTAGATTACAAGGTGACTTATTAAGAACTCAGTTGTGGCCGGGTGTGGTGGCTCACACCTGTAATCTCAGCATTTTGGGAGGCCAAGCCGGGTGGATCACCTGAGGTCAGGACTTCGAGACCAGCCTGACCAACATGGAGAAACCCCATCTCTACTAAAATATAAAAATTAGCTGGGCGTGATGGCACATGCCTGTAATCTCAGCTACTCTGGAGGCTGAGGCAGGAGGATCTCTTGAACCCAGGAGGCGGAGGTTGCGGTGAGACCAGAACACGCCATTGCACTCCAACCTGGGGCAATAAGAGTGAACTCCGTCTCAAAAAAAAAAAAAAAAAAAAAAAGTTGCCTTGGCCCTTAGAAGCAGAGATTGTTCCTGGCAAATAATTATTTTGGCAAAGGCAGACCTTCTGGGATTCACTTTTTCCTACCTCTCCTTCAAAGCTCTCAGCAAAGGGAAGGGGGATGTGGAGCTCCTAGGAGGAACAGACCCAGTTCAAGGGCATGGGCAGGAGCAGGCTGAGGTCCTGGCCAGTCTTCATTTGTGTTGAAGCCATAAGTTCTCCCCGTGGGGCTTCAGAGCAATTGGTGCACAGTGCAGATGGGAGCTGGCACTGCCATCTGGCTCTGTGTTCTTGCTGTGTAGACCTGAGCAAAGGGGTCTGGACATATTGTTGCATCCTCTGGTCAAGGTAGCATGTTGATTTCAGGCCCCACAGCTGGGGCCCTCAGCACAGCTGGAGAGGAAGCCACTTTCCCTGCAGCCTGGAGTGAGCACTAGGACACTAGCCTGTATGCAGCTGTTATCTGGCCTATTTATGGGTAGCTGTCCTCCCCCATGTCTCTACCAGTGACCAGGGAGGCGGGAGATGACCCATCGCTCCTGACTCCAGGTGACTGTAAGCTGGTTTGCCTCAAGCTATGCAGAAAGTCCCAGTTCCCTCCAACCACTCCTTTTTCTTCCTGGAAACATTTGTAGGAGGGTTTCTTTGCTGTTTTTCTTCTTACGGTTTCCTACAAAGATTTATACTCAGAGTATAATCAAAGTTGACCAGGTGCAGTGGGTAGTCCCAGCACTTTGGGAGGTTGAGGTGGGTGGATCACTTGAGGCCAGGAGTTCAAGACCAGCCTGGCCAACATAGCGAAACTCTGTCTCTACTAAAAATATAAAAATTATCCGGTGTGGGGCAGGAGCCTGTAATCCCAGCTACTCAGGAGGTGAAAGCAGGAATATCACTTGAACCAGGAGGTAGGGGTTGAAGTGAGCCGAGACGGTGTCACTGCACTCCAGCCTGGGCGACAAAGGGAAACTGCCTCAAAAAAAAAAAAAAGAAAGAAAAAAAAAAATAGAATGTAAGGGTCAAGAAACAATATCTGCTTTTTTCACAACTCAACAAGGAAAGCCTAGGGAAGCAGCAGAGTCTATGTGACAGTGAGAGAATTGGAAGGAGACTGTGGAAACAGGGCATCACCCTCTGCCCCTGCCCAGACTGTGGGAGAGTCCTCTCCGCTGGGGCTGCGGTGGCCTGAGAGAAAGGTGTGGAGCAGAGACACACAGCCCTCCCCGTGAGCCCCCTCCAAGTGACAGTAGGAAGCATCTGACATTTAGAGGAGACTATTAGTTTTTTTGTTTGTTTGTTTGAGAGGGAGTCTCCCTCAGTCCCCAGGCTGGAGTGCAGTGGTGTGATCTCAGCTCACTGCAACCTCCACCTCCTGGATTCAAGCAATTCTCCTGCCTCAGCCTCCCAAGTAGCTGGGATTACAGGTGTGCACAACCACACCTGGCTAACTTTTGTATTTTTAGTAGAGACGAGGTTTCACCATGTTGGTCAGGATGGTCTCAAACTCTTGACCTTGTGATCCACCCGCCTTGGCCTCCCAAAGTGCTGGGATTACAGGCATGAGCCACCGAGTTTCTTGCAGCTGTTGTAACAAATGGCCATAGACTGGATGTCTTAAAACGACAGAAATCAGCTGGGCATGGTGGTTCACACCTATAATCCCAGAATTTTGGGAGGCAGAGGCGAGCGGATCACAAGGTCAGGAGTTTAAGACCAGCCTGGCCAAGACGGTGAAACCCCGTCTCTACTAAAAATACAAAAATTAGGTTGGGCGCGCTGGCTCACGCTTGTAATCCCAACACTTTGGGAGGCTGAGGCAGGTGGATCACAAAATCAGGAGATCCAGACCACCCTGGCCAACATGGTGAAACCCCATCTCTGTTTAAAAAAGAAAAAATTAGCTGGGTGTGATAGCAGGTGCCTGTAATCCCAGCTACTCGGGAGGCTGAGGCCAAGAATCGCTTGAACCTGGGAGGAGGAGGTTGCAGCGAGCCGAGTTCGCACCACTGCACTCCAGCCTGGGCAACAGAGTGAGA